CCGCAAAACTATCACAAAAATATCACAGCAGCCCCACAATGACATTCCCCAATTGGTGGACGTCGCTTCCTCAATATTCAGAGAGTACCTTATTCGAGATTATAGGAGAAGTGGGCCAAGTCTAAATAATCGCTAAGTGAATGAGTTTCGACGATGACAAAAGCTAATGTATACAAAGCTACCATTGTTGCAATGTTTGCTAAATGAATGTTTTGATGATTAAGAGCACAATCGTACTCGTGCAAACGATGCATTAGGAAAACCAGAGACATCCAGTTAGTCAAGTTTTTATTTGTAGTTTGTAGTTATGTCACGCAGAACAACCAAAGGCAAGAAAATTCCCTCCCTGGCTCCAGGGTTCTCAAATTGTAATTTGTGCATGTTTTATAGAAGAGATATTGTGATTCTGGCAACAGAAGTTGACCCTTTTCTGTTTTATTGTTTGCTGTTCTTATCACTTTCAAGGGTTTTTGCGTTTAAAAAAACGTAATTTCGCCATTTATGAACTTATTTGGTATGATGCCAATTCCGCGTTCAAAATAACAAGGGAGAGTTAAAAAACAGAAGTCGTTCAGCTTGCTAAACAAGCTGTTTAGTTTACAACTATGTAATACATGTTTTTTAGTTACTGCGTTGTAACTCTAGAAACAGAAACTGAATCGTGAATCGTATATATAGCTCATGCCGTGAGGCAAAACAAGGAAAGTACTCCCTTCCCTTCTTCTTTTGGTTTTGCCTTGTAGACATGGAAAATAAATGAAAAAAATGCAATAGTTGCACAACATTGTTTTCTTTGGCTGTTTACCATTATTAACAGTGTAGACCAGGCTTTCTTTACAAGCGTGTTGGGTCAGAATTTTGTTTGGACTTTTTGTCCTCAATTTTTTGATGACTTCGATGATCATGGGTAGCATTACCCTCCTAGTAGAAGTTGAAAGTAAAGCAACCTGAATCTTATTATGCTTCTCATTAAGCATTCATTACTTTTTTTAGGCTAAAAGTATCATCAAATTATATTTTTAGAATTAATTATAACCAAACCGACATGGGTTATATCATTTTCAATGAAAATGTAAATCAGTTTTATTAACAACCGCCATACGTGTTTTGCGTAGGCGCTAACTTAAATAAAAAGCAATTTTTAATTAGCTTACTTTTCATTATCTTTTGTTGCTCAGTATCAAAGGATAAAGAAAGGCAGGGAGGCATTGTCACTTTCATTTGCTGTGGTAAGTATCAAAATTATTTTCGTTATTAAGATTCTACGAAGGGAGGCGCTCGCTAGCGATAATTTGGCTTTGCCTTTGACTTTCTTCAATTTTCTGCGGTCTCTCAAAATTTTCACAATTTGTGAAAATCGTCCTTGAGGGGTTTCAAAAGCAGTTTCCTCGTTATTTGCAATTTTGTGATTTCTACCTCCATCTCAAATTTGGTCTAATGAATTTTTCTCTTAACAAGCACTAGAAAGGGCACAAATATGTTTATGATAGATCTTACTTGAAAGCTTCCTATTTCCTTTGTCGCCCAGCATTACGTTATGGAATAGAACTATGCTAAGATCGGTATCTGAACATGCGTAGACGTTATTGATGTCAGACGATAGTCTGACATCAATAACGTTTATGACATGTCAGACGACAAGTTTACAAAGTAAATTCAAAACTTTGTGCAGGAGTTTTTCTGAAGCCAATATATTTCTACGCAACATGAAGTTGGTAGAAGCGCTCTCTCTTTTTAATCCAAAAAATTAAACCCAAATCCTTATTAGCTATCTCAGCTTGTGCATTTTCCTGATCACATGTCTGGAGCATGTTATCCTTAGGCACGATATAGCATATATGAATTCGAATCCACGTGAAGTTACCTAATTTTGATCAGGTATTAAGTAGGTTCCATAGGGTTTTTTGACCGCACAAGATCTGGGTACGAACATAGCACGAGCCTAAAAATCGGCAACTTGCCAAACAAACATGGCAGCTCGATGCGATCGCACGATTGTTTTCTGAAAAGGTGTGTTAAAAATAGTTAAAAACATTGCAGTTTTTAGATGACGGAGTCTAGGGTTTCCAGCAACGGCACCCGTAATATTCATAAACCTTCTATGCCCGAAATAGAGATCAACCCGAAAAACTTAGGAGTTTCCAAGGCAGTTTCCTCGTTATTTGCAATTTTGTGACTTCTACCTCCATCTCAAATTTGATATCTTTTTCAAGTGTTAATAAGTCCTAAAAGAATTGTTCAATAATTTCAAAGTCGTACAATTTCAGAAATTTCAAAATTTTCAACACAAACCTAGGCAATCAATTCCTGGCTGTCAATTCTAATAATCAACGATTCAGCGGCCTGCTGAATCTGTTATGCAGCCTTGCACGTGCAAGAAATTAAATTCGTTCGTTTTTCGCTTCTGAGCATAAAATTAACAATTCTTTGAATTTAAATGCTTGGTCTCGAAATATTACTTGGCAGCGTTACGACCGATCACGTTTACGCAATGTTTTAGGACAACTCGGCATCTATTCTCCATTCAGTTGCTATGAAAACCTAAAATCCTCCCCGTAGAAGATAAACGAACGAAGTTTGAACTGTCAAAAGGAGATCTTGGTCGATTTTCGGAATCATGCAAATGATCTTTGACACCAGCGCAATTGAGTAAAAACATAGATTTGCGTTGTTTTTAAGAAGTTGGTGGATGGAAGCTAGAGATATACCCGCGGGTTTGAGGCAATCCGTGACCTCATTCGTGTATAAACTATGCACTGATATGCTTTTTCAGCCCGAATAACGCCTGCATTTCGAGAATTCTTTCGTACAAAGTAGTGAAATTTTGATATGCAAATTAAGGTCGAAGAGAAGGGTCTCCTCTGATCACGCTGGTATGAAAAATATTTCAGCTGAAGTTTCCATATTTTGTCTGTGAACTAACTGAATACTTGACTTGAGCCAATTTAATGTTGTATGCAGAAACTAATTCCTTTTCGAACACTCTGCTCTTAAAATATAATTATCCACTTCTAATTACGTTTATTTCACCTTCGGGCAGTTTCATACATGTCATTCATTTCAAGTTTCGCGAGCCCTTGAGTTTTTAATGTGTTTTCGAAGGTCTCTTTGCTACTATCTCTCCTCTTTACTTTTTGTTTGCAGATTTTGGGTGATTTTAATATGAAGACCCTGTGGCTTGTCATCGTCGTGGCATTAAGCGTATCTTTAGGTAACAAACAAAAAAAGAATATTTGCACATGCACAAAGTTATAAGACTTAATTATTTTGAATCGTCTGGGTCTCTTGTCTAACATGTTTTTATGTCTAATTCCTCTCCACAGAGAAATCATCTGTAGAAGGTCTGTATACGTTTATTTTTTTTTTCTAATTTCCGTTCTAAGCGAATGGTATTGACGAATTTACCTCTAACTTATTAGAAAGAATATATTCCGTCCGTGAAAAGTCTTGTCCATTTTTCCTTCAAAGTTAAGTTGAGCAAAAAGTGATTCAGTTCCGATGCGTATTGCTTGTAGACGTTTCGAATTAATGCGCAGTCAGCTTTATTAATTGATGCATAAATCACTCTGATGAACAAAAGTTAGCAGAATGGATTAACCTTCATTCTTTCGACTTTG